TGGCAATTTGAAGGAGCTTGAACTTTTTTGCAGGGAAGAGTGGGATAAAACTGCAAAGTCCAGGTGTGCAAAGTTGACAGAGACTTATGCACAAAGACTTACTGCTGTAATAAATGCGAATGGTGTTCCACAAAGTATTAGTTGGGGGGGGGGGGCACACTTACGCAACCAGGGTGTTGTAGGTTTTTTAATTTCAATTATTTTCCTAATAATTATCTATTTGTTTTTCTCTTGAAATTTGTTGGTTTCAAGGTCACATAAAAGATGGAAAAATGTCAGACATGATTTATCTTGATTTCTGGCTTTACGTTACTAATACCTGCAATTTCAATAAGGGTGTGTAGACTTTTTATATCCACTGTATATGTTCTGTTGGTACACACATACTGTAGATTGAAACTGAGCTTTGACTTGTGCTGTAACTGCAATATTCCTCCAGTATTTGCATGTTAGATTTTCCTGAGCTGTCCACAGATAACAAAAAACATATATAAAGGCTTTCCTATACTATTAGGTATATTTATGAGAACACCCAATACAATATAAATACGCCTCCAAAAGAACAAAGAACATGACACAAAATAAATACAGTAAAGCGCTGTTTTCTACAGTGTCCGAGAAGTGGTGCACATCATCACAGACACGCCCAAGAAGTGGTGGGTGCACATCCCACCAAACACCACATCCTTGGCCATCGTAGGGAGAGAGCATCTGGGAGCTTGCTATAAGTGTTCAGGGTATTCATTTGGAAATCCTGAGCATGTTCCATTCCATAAAGTAATTCCAAGATTCGGAAGAATTAGATACATGTATAGAGCAATTAACATGGTTAATTCCTGGCAAAACACGAGTTCTGACAAACACATGCCGGGAAAGTAGATCTTTTTTTAGCTAGACCAAAGAATGCAGGTGTTGTGATGGAGTGTGAACTCCCTCATCCCATATCTGACAAGCCATATTACAAAACAAAATTAAAAGGGTCATATTTGAAAATATGAGTAATAAAATCAGGACAAAGACAGCAGAAGAACATCACGGTTTTCTCAAAGGAAAGGGGCTATAAATGCAATCTTCCTAGATTCATGTCAAAAAGATCCACTGCGGTGCAGAAAGACCTGCACACAGCATCTCCTTCACTGATTATGCTACAGCTTTTCACAAAGACATGAGAACTGTTTAAATCCTAGAAGCGGTAGACACTGACGGAAGAGATCTTTGTCTAATTAGAACTCTATACTGGAAACAACAG